ACTGTTAGCCTTGATAGGTGCTTGCTAACAGCACTTTCCCCAATAGGCTGGAATCGGGGGGTGTTTGTCCTTGTCTCTGTGTGCAACATGTACGAGTGAACATGGACGTGTTGGCATCCGACAGTTCAACTAAGTTGTGCACGCACGCCCATGCATAGGCGTGTCACCGATGGCAGCCCGGGTCACAGGGTGACTTGTGCATAGTTTGGGCTCCCCCCAAGATCAATTAAAAACTATCCCAATTTCAAGTTTCAAGTTTTTCAAGTTTCATTTATTAGGTATAGCCCTGTGAGCCATGCGGCTCTTGAGTCGGGTGCAACCGCAACAAAAATATAAACAGAGAGCATCCTAAAGCGACGACGCGCAACAGAAACATCCTGGATAAAAACCAGCAAATATTCCAGAAAAAAAAAACACCAACTGCACAACCACCGCCGTAACCACCACCGTTGGTGTTGTGCGCGTACCTAAATAAGCTATTTTTTATTTATTTTAACTGATAAGGTCCACTGAGCTGCTACATAGTTCTATTTCAGAAGCGGCCTGGCCAGAAATGATGGCTTAACGAAGTGGCTTATCATCACGTGGAAATGTATAGCAGACAAATACTCTAAATCAGTGTTCTTTATTGCAAGGCCATTGGCGACCCTTTGTGGCCTCGAATGCTAGCCTCGATATGTGCTTGCTAACAGCTATCAAGGCCCCCGACAATACACACATGAAAACACCCCATCATCATCGTGAAATACACAATGGTTTCACATGTGTGGCGGCCCTCACACCAGTGATGTCTTATCGGAGAAAGTGACCCCCCACCCCCATCTGAAAATTAGTGAACAACACTGGACTTGAATCTAACCTATATCATGGGTGCCTGGTGCTGTGTGACAGAGCTGGCATCATCACCACGCTATTTTCCACGTTGGGCCTAAATAGGTGCTCGCTCACAGTAAGTGCCTCCGGTGCTTTCATCCGAGCCGAGAGGAGGAACTTCGTCTTTGTGTGCAAGTGGGCGAGGGCGAGCGGCACGTGACATGCGCTCACCCCTTCGCGCCGTGATGAATGGGCGCTCTCTCTCCCCTTCATCATCCCGAGGCTGGTGGAAATTGATGGCTCAAGCATTTCCCGTGGCGCGTCCCGTGCCTTCCAACCTCCCAGCTGGCGTGGCGTGCCGAGGCGTGCAGAGAGGCGCCGCGCACAAAAGCAAAGATCCCCCGTGTAGCCTGAACGGACTGCAGGAGCAAGTGCTGTTAGCGAGCACCCATAAAGGCCGGCATGGTACACGAGGAGGTCGGTGGCCAACACCACGCCCGGCCGCCTTTGTTGCCCCCAGCGTCGATGTTTACACAGCGCACCAGGTACTCATTTGAGGCTGAGTCGACCTAGTGGAGGCCCAGGGCCAGTTCAGAAAATCGTAACCGGCTTTGGTGGCTGTGAGCGGGAATTTTACTGGGATCGCCGAGTACGGAGCACAGCGCAGCGCCAAGTATTGCACGACCGCTCCCACCACACGGTCAATTGTAAATGCCTCCGGCAGTATGGTTGTTTAGCACTGAAGAATCACATGGGTCACTTATTTTGGTTTTACAAAATTAAAAAAAACCTCGTTAAAATATGAATAGTCAAATAATTCAGGTCATCCACCGACCCCTCCCCCTGGGATCGGCTAAATTGAGTTGTAATGTGGGTCTTCGATGGCTCCCAGAGGCGAGCGTGACGCCGCACGGACTCCCGCTGTGTACGACCAGACACTGCTGCTACCACGCTTATTGTCACAAACGATGGATGATGCGGGCAGGATTGCGATGGTGTTTACAGTGAGAGGCAAACATCCAGCTGCTGAACAAACACTAAAATAGCTACAGATACATTAGGGCGCCACGGTGCCTCGGAGATGTTAACTGCCTTGCTAGGTATGCAGGAGACCGTGGGTTCGATCACGACCCTGACGCGTTTCGACTATTTGGCTGCTTTAAATGTCCACATGATGATAAGCAACTACGTTTAGCTATCTTTTGTGATCGCCAGGTCGCTTCTGAAAAAGAGTTACATAGCAGCTAAGTGGGGCCTTACCTGGTAACAATAAAACAACAATGAGACTCTATCCTGGTCTGCTGAGCACCCACCTGGTTTACAAACAACATCAACGCGGAACTGAATGTTGTACTGTAACTTGATGTAGTTAAAATATTGATGTAGTATATACTTAGTTTTTTCACATCGGTTTATTGTATGATAGTTGGGTAGTTGCAGTCCTTTAGCGTCCATATACTAAATGCCTCTGTTGAGATGTAAACTTTGACTTTAACATAGCTATTTTCGTGACCAGTCATATGCTAATCCCTCACATTAACATCATGCTAATCTCCCAGTTACGTGCTAATTCCTGACTTTAACACCCTGCTGATCCAACACTTTAACACAACTATTTCAATGTTAAATTCTCCTGTTTATATGTAAACTCCTTTATCAAGGCGCTTTGCCTCTCCCACCTAGCTTTTAAAGACGCTGCGAATCTTATCAGCAGTCATTGAAGCTCTGTCGTCCCGACAGTTCTGTTCCTTCACCTGAAGAAGGCTACTTGTGTTGTGGCCGAAACGTCGTGAGAATTTTATTTTTTATTATGTTTTATTTTTATTATTTTATTTCCATTCTACGTGACTTCACCGAAAGAACCAAGAAGATGAATCCCTGCAGTCACGAAAGCTTTAAATCGAAATTTAAAGCAGATAACGTCTGCTGTTTGTGGTGAAGTTAACTTTTGCATCACAAAAGCACAGTATAATCACTATGGTTAAGAAAGCCTATCACCTTTATTATCGCTGTAAAATTGGAGATCAGGACAAGATGTGGACCCCGCACATACTGTTTGCTACAACACTTATGCAACTACTTTTCACCAGTGGTTGAACAGGAAAAGGAAATGTATGCCTTTTGCAGTGCTAATGATTTGGAGAGAGCCAACAGATCATATCAGCAAGGTTAAGTGAAGCTAAGATAAAGAAAGGTGTCTTTGTTGGTCCTCAGATTCGTCAACTTCTTCGAGATGATGCATTTGATAGTGCACTGCATGGCAAGGAAAAGACGGCATGGAAAGCCTTTCGGTTAGTGGCAGAACATTTTCTCGGAAACAACAAGACAGACAACTACAGGGATTTGGTGGAAAACCTTCTCAAGGCATACAAAAACCTTGATTGCAACATGTCACTAAAGATACATTTTTTGCACTCTCATCTAGATTTGTTCCCATCGAACTGCGGAGCAGTGAGCGAGACGCATGGTGAGCAATTTCAGCAGGACATTTCAACACTGGAGAAACGCTATCAGGGAAAATAGAGCCCATTAATGCTTGCAGACTATTGCTGGACAGTGACAAGATATGCTCCATTTAATAAATATGTAGTGACATCACGGGATGTCACTGTGCTGTGCCGACCTTCGAGAGGCACGGCGTGCGATGTAGGAACATCGCGGACACCACAATGATGTGGGTGTAGTACCGGTCCTATAGGGGCTCCGTAAGTGCTGGTTGATAGCACTAGGTGGCACCACGCTTGGCGTGCAGTGCCAGCCCTACAGGATAGGGTGTGGGTGTGCCAGGGTTACTAAAGGCCATGGCACTCTGGTTGACCCGAGAGGACACGTGACCGGTTAAGTCTACAAAGGGGCCCCAAGTGGGGGCTAGAGGTGATCACGTGGTCCGGGTCCAGATCCTGCTCGAGGATTCTGGAAGATGGTCGTGGCCAAGGGCGGAGCCGGCCACGCCACAGAGAATATAAGCCGGGTTCAGAGGGACTGACGTTGTTGTTCATCTTGAAGAAGCTTTCGTCAACGTCCTACGTTCTACCGAGTCTCCAACATGTGGACCGGGACCCAAGCTGCGGTCCAGTCCATTGTAGCTAGTTACGTTGTAATTAGTGGAGTTAGCCTGGTGGTCACCACCATAGGTTGTTATTCTGTTAAGGGGAAGTTACCCCGTGTGTTGGAGTTAAATAAATGTGTTTCCTCCAAGAGTAAGTCTGCGACTCAGTTGAACTCACTACAAATACAAGAGACAAGCCAAGAAGCGCCAATTAGACACTGAATAAGGACTCAACTATGTAATTTTTTTTAATAATAATACTTTTTTTTGCCTTTTGTTTCATAATACATTTTATGTATATAACCCTTTTGCTGATTGCAAAGTGTTACATGAACAGGACAGGTGACATGTTATCATGTAAAGCACCCATAAACACACGAAAATACCTAGGTTTACAATTTATGAGTACAACTCTATCTACGCAATATACATAGATGTAAAAAACTGAAATATCTTGGCAACAGTAGCCAATCAGTTGTTTGAATTGTCATATTTGAACTTGATTTGAAGCTTTCGTGACTGCAGGAATTACTCTTTGGTTCTTTCGGTAAAGTCACGTTAAAACAAAATAAAATAAATAATTGAATACGACATTTCAATTGCAACACAAGCAACCATCATCAGGTATGAATGAATGAGAAAACAAACCTAGTAAACTTATAAATGTATTCTGTTATTTATTTTCTTTTTTTTCTACCTGACTTTACCGAAAGAACCAGAGAGTAATTCCTGCAGTCAGGAAAGATTCAAATCAAGTTTGAACCACTTCTACGGGGAAGATTTCCACACAACTCACACTTAACTTCAAATTTAGCAATCTTTGGAAGAACGTAATCAACCAGGAAAAGTGTTAACTGTTGTGTTAGCCGACTCTCTGTGTTGCATTACATTTCTAAGTTTACTAGGTTTGTTTCTCAGACTTCATATTTCTCTCTATAATTTTTTACCAGGTTTGTCAAGTTCTAATTTCTCTCCTCCGGCCGCTCTCATTGACATACTAATTTATCTGCCCCCCCCTATATAATGCCCCATCCCAGAGACGTTGTTTGTCTGTCTGTCTCTGTGTGTGTCTCTCTCTCTCTGCGTGTGTCTCTCTATGTGTCTCCGTGTCTGTGTTTTTTCTCGATCTCAAATTTAGCAATCTTTGGAAGAACGTAATCAACCAGGTAAAGTGTTAATTTTTGTGTAAGCCGACTCTCTGTGTTGCATTGCATTTCTAAGTTTACTAGGTTTGTTTTCTCATTCATTCATACCTGATGACGGTTGCTTGTGTTGCAATCGAAATGTCGTATTTTGTTATTTACTTAATTTTCTTTCTATGTGTCATATTTTATTTAGCACATCAAAATCCCTATTAAACAGGACATTTCATCTATGAAGCAGACGACGTCTAAAAAATTGTAGACCAGTGTAATTACTGTTACAACCTAGTCTGGGCTAAACATAAACTTGATAACGAATTATGTAAGTTATATTGAAGTATTGAACCAAAGGATAATTCAGAAGATATACATAGTACGAATTACGTCAATTCTCCACGACCAAAATACTGTAATGTATTCCATGGAGATAACCAGAGCTTGCCCGACCGCCTTTGTCTTCCCAGTGGCTGGCATTGCATGCTGCAGCAGTAATTCCTTTTTAATAATAAGTCGACCTAAAGAGGGAGGAAGGCCGTTTCACTTAAACACATGGACAGAACACACACACCACATCAAGGGGCAATTAAGTGGGTCTGTGCCCACATAAATCGTGGGATGACCTGGAGGGAGGGGAGTTGTATCAGGGTTATGACATCAGATGCCAGGATGTCTGCGGAGCCCGAACCAGGGATGAACTCATGCTGACCCGATGGATGCACCACGTGTGCAAAGGTGGGATAAGCTTCGGGCCTTAATGTGTCTTAGGCAATGAATTAAATACGCTAGAAATTCCTAGTTGGCTGTGAGTGGGACTCGAACTTGGCAAAACCAGGCTCAATAGAAGGGATAAACCTATACACGAACACCCAGAGGGGGTGGGGTGGGGTAACCAATGCTGTCTCACACTTAAACACGTGGACAGCACACACACACCACATCGAGGGACAATTACGTGGGTCTGTGCCCACACAAACTGAATGACATGCGAAGGGAGGATGGTGTTAATGATACCAAGCGCCATGATGTCTACAGAGCCAGAACAAAAGGCCATTCAAGGCTGGCCGGATGAATGCTCTAAGGGTGTGAACGCGGGAGGAACATCTAAGTCATTATATGAGGTAGAAAATCCTGTATAATGGCACACAAAAATCACACAAACCAGTTTTGTGTTGGCAGGCTCCGGGACTTGCCCTTGTAATCGGCAAAAGTGTGGAGCTTCAGCTAAAAGCAGACCCAAGTATTTTTGGAAGGTTTCTCTTACGTTTTATTTTGGTTTCCTTGTTGTTTGCTTCTGAAGTCACTTGCGGAGACAAGGTTGCTCACCGCAGAAGACCTTCCCGGAGGAGACGCGCGACGGCTGTTTGTGTGGTGCCGCCGTGACGGAGCAGCTCCGTCGGGGGCCCCTTACCGCCGTGACACCACCACCAGGGGGTGACAACCCACCCCCCCTCCGCACGAACGCACACACACCTCGTGTAGAGCCGGGAGGGAAGGTCACCTGGCCGACGGGTTTTTATTCAGAAGCCCCTAATGGGATCAAGCTTCATGGTTTTCTGCGGCCGGGAAATTGGGTGATCTTCCCCCGTGGCTGACATGCACCGTGGCGCCGTGACCTGATATTAAAGTTACGTGGTCACGGCAGAGGCCGTTGAGCCACCGCGAGTAAAACCGCACACACACAAGCACGAGTCAGGAGGCCAAGGGGGTGCGGATCGGAATGCCTTTGTTAGGATCAGGGATCTAGATAACAAAGGGATAAGAATAGCCGACATCTGAATGGACAGGGCGGCACGAGGCAGGGGAACAGCGATACGCCTTTGTCAGGTAGAATTAGGGACCCCAATAAGAACGGGACTGGAGCATTCCGAAATCTGAATGGACAAGGCAGCACGGAGCGTGAGAACAGCGGAACGCTTTTGTTACAGGTAAGATTACGGATCCGAATGTGAAAGAGACGAGAATAACTCGGCCTCTGAATGGACAGGGCAAGCACGGGTGTGGAAGCATCTGAATACCTTTTGTTCTAGATAAGGTCACAGATCCGAATATGAAAGGCAAGGGCGAGCAAGTGCAGGATGTGCGATACCTTTTGTGATAGGTAGGATAAAAACGCAGAGGCTTAGAGTAGCGAGACAAGAGTTCTTCTTCAATATCATCGTGGTCCACGGAGCAGGGGAGCCAGCCGTTCGAGACGTCCGTGTGACGAGCTTCAGCGCAGCCAGGCTCAACCCTCTATGGAGACGACCCGCAGCCTCGCCCTTCTACATCCGTCAGCGCAGCAGAGTGGAAGTAAGCGTGAGTAAGAGAGAGAGGTAAGTTGGAGGCTATTTAATGGAGGGTAGAAAGTGGAGCGATAGGCAGGGTGAATTGAGCCTAGGATTCCCGAAGGATAGGCTAGGGGGCCTGCTGACTCACACAATCACACGTAGTTAACGGGTTACTCGCGGTTAATAAAATAACTGGTAGGGGGACAAACTGGGTCGTGTGGTCTTTTGGAGGGTGAAGAGAAGGGTGGAGAGTGTTTTGTGTTCGCGCGCATACGCGGCTGTTTACGGTGGTGTTTAGCGCTCGCGTACCCGTACGACCGATTACGGCAGTCCTTAGCGTGCGCGTGCCTACGCGGCTGTTTACGGTGGTGGTTAGCGCTTGCGTACCCGTGCGGCTGTTTGCGGCGAATAAGGGAGTGTAGCGCTTAGCGCTCGCGTGCCTGTGCGACTGTGTTGCGGTCGCGTGTCTGCGCGATTGCCTATAGCGAGGTAGCGAGCTAAGCGCCTGACGTGCGCGTATTCACACGACTGTTTAAACGGCCCTTTAAATCGGAGCGGAGCGACTCCCCCCAATCCGCAGCACGCGCACGGCAGACGCCCCTGGCCCCCCACCCCCGACTCCCCACTCCCTCGCGTGTGATTGGTGCCCGGGGCTCGGCAGGGAGCAGCATCGAAGTTGTTATTGCCTGAGCGCGTAGAGCATGTGTGTGAGGGAATCATGTATTGGCGCGCCGCACCTGTTCGTTCACGTGCGGGACGGGGTTTTACTTTGCGAGCACGCTCACCGCAGCACGCCACCGATCTCGCGTAGCGCGCCGTAAGCGCAAAGCGTACGAGTCGCCAATTGAAACATGCCCACGCGGGCAGCCGCAAAGTCGGGGGCGCAAGAGGGCGAAGAATTAGGGGTTGGTAGCCCGGACGTCACAGAACAGCCGGGGGGTAGTGGGACGAATTTAGCGGGGGAGTCGGGGGACCACGGCCCCGACAATTCGGTGATGGCGGGGGATGGTAGCCCCCACATTTGCACACCCAGCTACTCTCTCAGCTGTTGGTCACGACCGTGCGACGTGCCAGACAAGAGTGGTGATGAACAGTTTCTCTGCTGACGAGCTGCGAGCGCTGGGCCTGCGTGGTCCCTGCACACCCCTTCTGCAATTCGGGTCTGGCGTACAGACCACCTGCAAGCTTTTAATCCAGAAGGCGATGGCGAGCTGGTAGCGTGCTGATGCGAGAATGCCAAGCACACTCCCGCTGTGGACTGACTTGACAGGCAGACAGCCCCGAGTGGATGCCAAGCTGTAGGCTCGCAACATCCAAGACTACCAATCAATGCTCCCTCGTGGGGCCCGAGGTATTTTCGGTACAGAGAAGAACAGAAGACTGACTCTTACACACACACCACGTGACCATACCGCTTGCTTGTGGTGACACGATCCTTATGCAAGGATCACACATAGACGAACTTACGCCACACTATGCGTTATAACTAGCGCAATTGGCATGATTGCCCCCGACACACACACAACACGCATATCAGTGCGAATATTGGTTTTGAGGTGTTAACTGTTTAATTTTAATCTTGCAATTCGATTGGTGGCATGCTGTGTTAACCATTCGAAAGCATTGCGTTTTTATTAACCTGTACGCGTGCATAAATATGGTTGTTTAGAGGCGCTAGCCGTTGTTTTCTTGATCGCATCGTCTAATGATTGGTGGCTGCTGTGTTAACCCTTTGATAAGCATTGTGTTTTCCTGTGCGTATGCAAGGAAATTGTTGTTTAGATGCGAGCCATTGTATGTTAATCACGTAATCGTCCGACTCGATCGTTGATGTTTCCCTAACCAGTTTAGAAGTCATTTACCCACACATTCGGAACGAATACTGCCATTTTGCGGCTTTGCCTATTGTTCTGATCACGTGATCATGTGATCTGACCATTAATGCTTTTATGATCATCCAGTACGGATTGCTGAGTTACGTATTTTTGCATGGGCACTGTTGTCGGTATTCTGATGATAAGGGCTTGATGTCAGAGTAAGTGAGATTGAAGTTGCTTAGATTAAAACAGGTTTCTGAGTGCTTATTTCCGAAACCTGTGCATCATTGTCATAATGACGAACTTGTATCCTGCGGTGAGATCTTAAACCCGAGACCTGACATAATTACACCCATAATTGTTTAAGCAAGAATCAGAATTGTTAAAGCGAGATCAACGATATTATCAGGATGGGTGATACATACCTCCAGAAAACGAGAGAGACAATAATAATAATCGGAACACAATAACTGTACACACAACGAGATCACACATACATAATCACAACAACCGCCATTTGCCACTAGTGGCAGTGACGTCACCACGGTGCTTGTGCCAGGCTATGTGCACGTTGAGGCCACATGAAGTGTCAAACACCCGCTGGCAGGAGGTCACGGGGCAGACCCAGGTGCCACGGGTCTAGTGACTGCGATGACTGGCCGATGCACCACCTGCTCCCCTTACTATGCCAACTTGCTGTTCTTTAGCCACCCGGCACTCCGTTCATTGTTGTGAGCATCGCTCCTCCGCCCTCCATTGTTGTTGGAGGGTGGCTGCCTCCAACTGCCCAGTAGGATCCTTCACTAGCTTCCTCTACAGAGGTCAATCTTGACACCGCTGGTACCAGTCATCGGCAAGTCCACTCAGCTCCACATCTTCCTGTACCATATCACTCCATCTCTTCGTAAAGCCTGTGCCATGCCCATTAAGCCCCGTCTATCCGGCTGAACAAAAGTTGTTTAGGCATGCAGTAGCTGGGCATGCGGGCTACATGACCCAGCCAATGCAGCCTTGCCTGCCGGAGGAGCTCACTGATGGGACTTTGTCCAGATGTTTGAAGGATTTTTGAGCTCATCACACAATCCTGGTTAAACCCAGGATGGATCGTTGGCAGGCCAGTCTAATTATTTCTAACAGGCGAAGACTTTCCATTAGGGGGGGTCCACGTTTCACAAGCGTAGAGAAGGGAATGCATAGCTGTGGCCAAGAAGACCTGAAGCTTCGTGTGTAGTGACAGATCAGGAAGCTTCCAAACAGCGTTACGCAACCCTAGAAAAGATGCCGCTCGACTGATTCAGAGTGAGACCTCTGCTGTCAAACCGGAGCCGCTCATGAGCACACTTCCCAGGTATGGGAAGCTGTCCACTCTCTCCACAACTGCCCCATCACCAATTGGGAGTTATGGGGTTGGAGTGTCCGATGGTATAATATACCCAGGCAGGTGCTTAGTTTTGTTGGGGCTGATGGTAAGGCCCCATCTTTAAGTGGCATGCTCCAGGTTCAGCAGCAGCGAGTACAACTCCTCCTCTGAGTGAGCAGCAATTACCAGATCATCAACATACATAACATGGTTGACCAATAGGGAGTCATCCCTTGACCACACCTGGGCATTGATCAGCCTCCCATTGTATCTGTACCAGATGGAAATTCCTCCGGTACAGCAATCGAAGGCTTCAAGAACACGAGGTCAAAATGATGTAAAATCACGTGAGAGCCAGAGGACATCCCTGTCGCACCCCAAGGTGACCAGGGAATAGCTCCGACTCCCGTCCAAGTAGTTTTACCCTGGTTCGCTAACCATCAGAGATTGGCTCACCGTTCTTCCCCCTAATGATAGTAATAGGTGTGGCGCTGCAAGTTCCTTTTTTATGGCATTAAAGAGTGATTTGTGGTGGTGGGCCACTGAGGCAGGTCCTGGGAGTACAACCACCACCGGAGTGAAAGAATGGCAGGCGCATCTTACAGATAACAAGTCGATGGTCAGTGGGCAGATCAGCTCCAAGGTAGGTCCTGGTATCAAGGACATTGGCCCGCATCCACTGTTCCATCACTTTATAGTCCAGCAGATGTTCTTGCTTGGACCCGGCATGCATCCATGGTGTGTGGATGCCCATGGGCTGCACAAAGATATAGCAGCCTCCTACCGTTGTTATTGAGCTGATCTGGCCCATGCCTTCCAATCACTCCAGACCAGGTGCCAGCATCATGACCAATTCGGGCATTAAAGTCACCCAACAGGATGAATCTATCCTGAGGGGCCACTTTAGCTAGTGCCTATGACAGGAGGCCATAGAAGGCATCTGACTCATCAGTCTTGCCTGAATCCCTCCACGGATGTTCGTCTTTGGTGGGGGCATAAGTAACCACGACCACCACTCCTCGCCTCTGGTTAATGGGAAGGCGAGCCCAACGTAACCTGGGGCTTACAGCTTCTCACCTCACCGCCATGCTCCCACGCCCCCTTCATTATTTTGTTCAGAAGAGCCACTCCCTGTTGTTTGGCAGTCTCCTACCCTGAGTCGAGGACTGTCCACCCCTCATGGTGGCAGGAGCCAGAGCCGGTTCACCAGACCTCCTGAATACCACAGAGATCCCGGCGGTACCATTCCAGCTCCCGACAGAGGAGTGAACAGCCTCTCCCCTGCAGTGAGCATTTGAAAATTCTATGTGGCCACCCGCAGTGGTTTTTTGCTGTTTCTGGAGGAATCCCGAGGGTAAGGATTCATTCTCCTGGCTCCGCCAAATGGGGTTTGGCCAGGAGACGTCAGGCGCCTATTTCCCCGGGGCCTCCGGCACAAGCTTCATTTGATATTTGTTCTTGTAGTATCGTGGTAATTTATTTGAAGGTGGAATGGTTACCAGCCCCTCGCACCCGTCCAGAGCCCCCATTTGGCCGTTGTGGTGGCTACAAACGCCATGAGAGGAATGGCCAATCTAAATTGGTCCTCACCCCACGGCAATACTCACCAAGCGTTGCCGTCCATCACCAACCCTTAAAAATGTTGACACACATTCTTAATCACACTAAACACAGATTTTTTGTTAATTACACTTAATTACTTACATTAACAAATTTCCCCATTATTGTTATATTTTGTTAAACATTAATAATATTTGTACATCGCAATATATACAACATCGGAAGACAGAACGGTTTACATGAGCAGCTGACTGAGACACGAAGAAGCTTCACAGTTAGTCTGTTGCCGTGCAGCAGCAGCAGCACCCAGCCCTGATGGCGATTGGCTGGCTCCGCAAAGATTTGTACTGTGCCCTTACCTAGACTTGGTTGAGACGGTCCCTCCTAGATTCATTTCTGGAATAATTTCTTGGCGAACGGTCACATCACAAAGATGACGATGAGTGGTGTTGGTGGCATCACCACCACCGCACGTTAAAATGGGGAAGGCAGCAAGCTGCTGAGGCACTGTGCAGCTCCTGATGGAGAGTTCTGCAGTTCACTCGAGTCACAACGTCGACATCGTCTGACTGCTTGATGAGAATCCAGTGTATTGTTACGCTGCACCGGCGTGGTGTCAATTTTCCTGTTTTCCAATGCATGCCCCACCTCCTCCCGGCCCGCCATTGCGGGGAGAGAGAAATACCCACCCCCTCTCCCCTATGAAGAAGATTCAGCACGATACACGAGGGGATGGGTGGCCAGCACCATACCCAGCCGTCTTTGTCTCCCCTGTGTCGATGTTTGGGGCCGTCCATAAATGACGTCACGCACCGAGGAGGGGGGTCAGACATTTGTGACGATGTGTGACAAGGGGGGGAGGGGGGGTTTTGAAAAATGTGAATTCACATCAAAATGCGCAACTTTAAAACAGGTCCCTGCAGGGTGGGCTGGTAGGACAAGTCTCTGCGCTGTCTATTGCTGATTTTACACCCAACAGCACGAGATTTTACTTCGTTAAAGTATTGAAAGGGGACGGACGGACACATTAATCTATTGCAGGCTGGTACACTCAGTTTACAACTTCGTTCCTACCAGTATAAATGTGAATTGAATAAAATTGGTATAACAACACTCATTTTGATTAATTTTCATTATTAACTAATTAATTATTAAAAATTTACTAAGATCACCTTTTATTTATTTCATGAAGGAGCATTTTGCTTCTCCATGGGAGAATGGAGAAGCATACATTTTGTAAATATTTTGAGTGATTGTTATTAAACATTTAGATTCTATTGATTCTACCAGGGCTTTTCATTCTGTGAAATGATTATGTGATTGTTATAATTGTACTCTCCATTTTGCTTCGTTCTACTACAAAGTTTCAAGTATTTTTTTTATAGTTATTACTTTTAATATTTTAGAATTATAAGAGAATTTCACGATAATGTTCTGAACATCTGCAGTTTTAGTTAGACGTTGAATATTTCAAGTTAATTTTATGCTCAATTTCAGCTTTCTAACGCCTACTTTTTAATACGTTTTTTCTCCTACAACATCAGAGTGCAGCGCCACATTAAATACGCACTACAATGACAATAGTTTGTTTAAAGTGATTTGAAACATGTTTTATTTTCAAAATGTAAATTTTTTTTTTGGGGGGGGGGGAGCAGAGCTTTGTCACGTCATATTTGAGGGGGGTCTAACTTTTTGTGACGCCGTGTGACGAGGGGGGGAGGGGGGTTCAAAAATCGGCCGAAATCGCGTGACGCCATTTATGGACGGCCCCTTTACACAGAGCACCAGGTACTCATTTTGAGGTTGAGTCGACCCAGGGGAGGCTTAGCACTGGTTAAGATTTTCGCCACCGGTGTTGGTCGTGAGTGGGAATAAAACTCGAGTCGCTGGGTTCATAGCACACCACACTAACTACTGCGCCACCGCTCCCCACCAGCACAAACAACGCCACAACCACCGCCGAGGGTGAAATTAAATCCACGAGCCGAGGTCATTCATATCCGGGGAGCTGCACCTGGGAAGGATGACGTGGTTTTCTTTTTATAGGTGAGAGAAAAGTTTAACATGTAGTCGGCCATCGCGACCAAAATTCTTAATACTGTACAGGTTTTTTTTTGTTTTAAGATACATTAACCCCCCTTCACCCCTCTGGTCTTCGCACCTGATAGGCTCACGGTGATGACATAACCTTTACTGTGTTTAAGACCGGAAACAGGAAGACGTCTTCATAATGCTGGCTAATCGTCTGATGGGGCTGGTTGCAATCACCAGCTAAACGTCACGGTACTCGAATAGTAAATGTTATGGGTTTACTCTCCAACACACCCAGTGTGCTGAAGTAGT